ATGTGTCTGGTAATAGTTGGGGCTGTTTTCATGATCTGGACATGGACAGAGCTTCTGGGATTCTTAAGATTGGAACATCCAGTGTGGTTGTACTGTTGGCCACTTTATACCTGGTTATTTGCTAACCAGGTCATAAATATTTTTTAAATGTATTGTTTTTTTTAGTTGTACATGACAGTAAAATCCATTTTGATATAATTACACAAACATGGAATATATCCTTTTCTAGTTAGGCTCCCATTCTTGTCATTTACCAATATTGTCCAGCTAATGCACTGAGTTGCAATCTCTTTTACAGTAGTACTTATAAAATACAGGATGTCATTTCACTTGTACAACAAAGAAACTTTAGGATGGGATGTGCTTTGCTCACATTTATGAAGTTAGTAAGTAATGTCTTGGATATAAACCTAGAGTTCAGGCCTATAATTTCTTATCTTTTTATATAAGCCAACAGAAATGGAAATCCAGAGGAGTGCTTTTGACTCTAAGTAGTAAAACTAAAAAATGTCTTAAACAGTAAGGAAAGTTTATTTTAAGACTAGTTGAGTCCTAATACTAGGTGGCTTTGGCTTATGTTGTTGCCTCATCATTTCCATGATAGTGTCATATCCAGGTTTTATATATATATATATATATTTTTTTAAGAATATTTTTAGCTGTAGGTGGACACAATACCTTTATTTACTTGTTTGTTTTTTTAAATGTGGTGCTGAGTCTCGAACTCAGTGCCTCATGTGTGAGGCAAGTGCTCTATCACTGAGCCACAACCCCAGTCTCTGGGTTTAGATTTTTAAGGAAAGCTGTATGTAATAGTATGGAACAATTTCACCAGCCAACATCCCAGATGCTAGCCAAGGGCCAGCCTTGGAAGTCGACCTTTCTAAGGAGGGAAATCTCAGGCCTGCTGTGTGAACTTTATTTACAGGTTTATTTGTCACTGTTTCCAACAATGTTTCATTTACCTGTTTATATCTCGTTTCACCTGTATTGGTTTTCTTTTTTATTGGGGGATCGGGTACCAGGGATTGAACTCAGGGGCATTTCACCACTGAGCCACATCCCCAGCCCTATTTTGTATTTTATTTAGAAACAGGTCTCACTGAGTTGCTTAATGCCTCATTTTTTGCTGAAGCTG